CTCACCATGTAGTACAACAACATCAGACTCAGTATAATCCTACAAGTGTGATCTAGGAAGAATAATTGTACGCAAACCTTATCTCTGCCTTGTAAAGGTAGAAAGACTGTTTCTGAACAATTGTAACTATAAGATGCAGTTGATAGCAAGTAGCAATACCATGTCGTGCAAGTAATAGCATACTGCAGCAGATTCTTTAATGAATATAGGCAGAATAGGCTAATAGACTTCTTCTTATTTCATTTTGATATCTCCGTCCCTATCTCAGTCCTACTCTATAAAGTTTTAATCAAGCACTTGAACTCAACCAAAACATAAGTTTTAAACACCTCCTATAGTGTGTGCTGCTCACTCGCCCTGACATGAACGACATATCATATCCACCTCAAATTATTTAATGCCACATCATTATATATTTTAATAACATATTATTTTTTATAAAATTCCCAATTTCATCTCCTTTTTCTCCAACTAAAAAAGTATCCCAACCTTCCTCCTCTCTCTTTTCCCCATTTAATCTCTTCCTCCTCCACCTACAACCACCAGCACACACCACCACCCTTTTGTCCTCCATCTGAAAACACACAACCAAAACCACTTTATCTTCTTTTTGTCATGATTTTTCTCCATTGTTGTAAGTCTACTCTACCATCTTTGCTAGCCTCTCTACCTCACCTCTTATCTTCTTTACCTTCACGTCACCTTCTCAAAATCCAGGAATCGAACGAGTCAATGTCCATGACAAGCGAGTAACATCATAGATCCTCGAAATATCGAACATCACTAGGAGATCACTTCGAATCTCGAGGGACTTTGATGGAAGAGACTCACTATGGAGACCCTTCTTTTGCCTATTAAATTCCAACTTTCACAAATACCAAATCTCAATACTACAAATATCAAATATGTCCACCTCTTAAAATGAACATTTCCTGCTCCCACCCAGAAAGAGAGAAAGAACACGCTATGAAAAAAAGATTTATTTGCTAAGAAACTATGGTTAAAAATACCATGGTTAACAGATGTTTAAAAGTTTTTTTTAAAACAAATTTGAGATAAACTAAATGGGCAAGCACAAAAAAAAAACAAAACAGAGAAGAAGAGACTAGTGTAAATTGATTGGCAGAGAAGCAAAAAAATGTAGCAGCTCTTGATGTTATGGTGGAGACAGAGAATCGAATGGGCCAGGGGAATAAGAGGGAGGGGAGGGAAAGAAATTTGTTTGGCATTACATTTCTTATCTATTTAATATTTTTTAATCAAAATTACTCAATCACTTGTTTTTTGGAACGTGTAATCACACACTTTGTCTGATTCAGTAAAACAAGTGTCACATCAATTTGGTCAAC